TGCTACTGCTAGTGCTTGTGCTTGCGTTATCTGCTGCTGCTGCTCTTGCTACTGCTACTGCTATGCTATTGCTACTGCTACTGCTACTGCTCCTGCTCCTGCTCCTGCTCCGGCTCCTGCTGCTGCTGCTGCTGCTACTACTACTGCTACTACTACTACTACTCCTACTACTACTACTACTACTACTACTTCTGCTGCTGTTGCTGCTGCTGCTGCTACTACTACTACTACTACTACTACTACTGCTACTGCTACTGCTACTGCTACTGCTACGGCTCCGGCTCCTGCTCCTGCTCCTGCTCCTGCTCCTGCTCCTGCTGCTACTAATACTACTACTACTACTACTACTACTACTACTACTGCTACTCCTACTACTACTACTACTACTACTGCTACTACTACTGCTACTACTGCTACAACAACACGACGACGACGACGACGACGACTACGACTGCTACCACCACTACTGGCACTACTACCACGATCGGGGTAGTAGTAGCAAAAGCACTAGCAGCAGCAGTGGCAGTGGCAGTCGCAGTCGTAGTTGTCGTAGTCGACGAGGTGGTGGTGGTGGTGGTAGTGGTGGTCGTAGCAGTCGTCGTTGTCGTAGTAGTGGCGCCGTCGCCGCCGTCGTCATAGTATGTGTTGTTGTTGCTGTAGTAGTCGTTGTCGTAGTGGTGCAAGAAGAGGTAAGTCACAACGGCAGTGGTGGCAGTGGTGGCAACAAAGGCTGTTGTGTCTGACAACAATATTGACAGCAGCAGGCAGGACAGCTTTAACAACCATGGCGACAATGACAGTGTTGCTGCTGCAGCCAACACGAACACTGGGACGCTGAGCAGTAGTGACGGTAACAACTTGCAGCGGAAGTAGCCGCCGTCATCGGTATCAACACTACTCTCACAAGATCGTAAAGCGATGCTCGACTCTCTCATTGATGATTTTGCATCCCTTCCTTGAGCATGGCCCAACCTGAATCTGTTGGAAGCAGTATGCTTTTTTTGCATCCGGGCTTGGGAAGTCGGCCGGGAGCCAGAAAACAGCTAAAATGAAGACTGTTTCCGACAATACTCACACTGACTGGGAGAACATATCCATGTAAGCAGGACTTGGGTGTGTAGTGATGTGTAGTGCAATGTGCTGAATCATCGAGTCGGTGACATCGTTTCACTGCATTGCCAGGGCGCCGGCGTAAAAATCGAAAAGAAGGAGCCGGCAAATTTGCGCTTGCGCTTGAAGTCCGCGAGCCGGAACCTTATGTGACACATCCTCCCACAGCCAAATTTCAATTGAAATGTACAAGCCATGTGTCGTGAGCACTAACGTACATGTGCTGCATTTTCAGAACTGGTCATGCGCAGTCTGCTGGGATCCTCGCTCTCCAGCAACTCTCGGACAAATCATGTCATGCAGCTGGCACCTCGCTGGCGAAGATCTCATCTTTAGCCCGTCACAAGGCAGGGGAAAGCACCCAAGACCAAGTCCGGGACAAGACATCGCAAAACGCGATGGTTTCGTAGTTCAGGCACCTCCAAATGTTGATCATACTTGCTACAAATCCGGGCCTGGCAAGACTTGGCGTCTGGCTCCATGCGCTGCACTTGCTCCTCGTAGAAGAACTTCCTCGTGGTGCTGGCTTTGGGCATGACACGTGGCTTGTGACACGAACGACCTCTGGTCCAGAGTCACGCACACAGGCAAACCAAAAACCATGTCTACATGCCTTTGTCAAATGGTGGAGCAGTCAGAATTCAACAAGGTGAACTGTGAACCTTCTGAGCAAGCGTATTGCAAACTCAGCCGGCCCGCGTCGAATTTGAAATCAGGAGTGGGCGGATCGCCATACACTGCAGGCTGCACAGAACTTAGAATGGACGAGCTCGCCAGCTAGAGACACAAGCCGCAGCACCAAGAGAAAAGAATCATTCACCCAGCGCGCCACAACCTGATCTGACAGGGCCGTCTCACTGTACTCTACCTGCACGCCACGGCAGGGTCCGGACATGCAGGTGTGTCAGGAACGAACTTGAAGCAGTGTGAACATGCGCCTTCAGCGGACTCAGCCCGACTTGAAGAGGAGGATGGCCACCTGACCTCGGAAAGCGCCACCACCCTTGAACTGCGAGTTTGCAAACCTAAGCATGCGCAGAAACCGATAGCAGTAACATCTGATGCCGAGGAGGACAAACGTTCGAGAGTTGCAGCGCCTGCGCTTGATAAAAGTCGCCAAGGTATTTTGGAAAGCTTTCTGTGGGCTGAGCATCGAAGTTAAGTCCAAGGCCCAGATAGAAGTAGATGAAGTGCTTCGTCTCGTGCGTGACCTGAGGTGCTCCAATGCTTCAGCTTCTCTTGGAAGTTCTCGGTGTCGAAGACAAGAACAGTGCAGATATTCGGAAGGTTCAGAGAGAATCTGCTGAGACACTTAGGAGCAACATGAAAGAGATGGGCAGTATCGGCTGCTTTGTTTCTTGGTGCTTGAAAAAAGATCGATCCTGTGTATAAGTGTCTACCTTCTCTGGCTGCGGATGCGGCACGTATGAGCCGAAGTTGCGTCCGACAACTGCATGCCAGGTCGGATTGTACTTCTTATCAAACTCCTGCGTCACGAAATGGCAGGCGCATCGTCCGGAGGGCTGGAGGTGCAAACCGTGGACTCGCAGGCAGGAGACTGAGCAGATGAAGTTTCGTGTTCCTTCTTGATGAAGGCAGCGATGTCCTTCTCAATGTTATACTTCTCCAGGGCCTCGCAGAGGCAAGCGCAAAGGTGGCTGCGTGCACAGGATCCGATGCAGCGAAGACTCAGAAAGCACGGTCTATCCTGAGTGGCACAGTCGATGGCATCCTGTTGCATGTCCTCGGCCATGTCAGCGTTCTTGATCACTGCCTTTCCAGAAGATGTCCCAGGGGCTGGACAATGAACATGTGTGCACATTTCCGTGGAATGCTGTGTGAGCACACGCATGACAAGACACCCGTGTGCATGCAATCTCTGTTTGCTGGAGCGATACGGATAGACGGAAACCACATGCAGATGCACATCATAAGTGCGCTAACCCTCCGTAGCCTTGCGGTCGGCCATGGCAAACGCGCTGTGAAAGGCGAGAAGGCCACGGATTTCTAGCTGAACTCGCTGCAAGGCCCAAAGATGGCTGGTGCAGCAGTATGAAGGTAGTGCGAGCTTGAATCGGAACAACCACGTTGCTCCGTGAGCGCAGGATGGGCTCAGGCGACTATCCGGGAGCAGCGGGCATCTTTGCCACATGTGTCCATGAAATCACCAGAGGTACCTGAAATATGCGGTTGCCTGGAGACAAAGAGAATAGACGGTCCTGAAGTCCCGAAACTCTTACCCTCCGAATACGGCTCTCACCCTATAAGGCCGACAAAGTCATGTCCTACATGTGTCCCATGCAGAGTACAATGCAAGCCGTGGGCCGCACAGCTCATAATCCCGAACGACACCATCTGCCTCAAGCAGCGAGAGGCCGCTGCCGAGTTAGCCCCCTCAAATCTTCCTGCCGGCAATTCCGTGTGCCGGGCATCCAAGTCAAAGATGTTAAACCAAAACTCGATTGATCTGTCCTGGCCGAGCCAGCCAGAAATGCGCAAACCGTGCAGCTACTTGTCACTGCCCACGACGTCGCAGCATGCCAGCTATGGTCCGTACATACATGCAATTCAGGCCCTGGCGGTTATCTGATCCTGGTCATTCAGGAGGAAGTGGATGAAATCCTGCAGCGCTCCCAGGTTTGTCAATCTGTGGATTGGCGTGGTACTTTACTACTTTACTCAAAACGCTTTTCATCTGTGCCTCGTATCCCATCTTGCCGGGCACAGCCGACGTGAACCTAAGCGCCGAGATGCCCGGAAACTGCAACCTGCTACAGCACCGGCCACACCTGTCGCGAAGGACCCGACCGACATGTCACCTCGCTGAAGATCCGGTCCACTGTTCTTCTAGACAGTGCGTGCCTGGCCCAAGACTATGGACTTGCTTACAAGCGCCGAGCACATTTCCGCGGAGCCGTGACAGGCCGTGACAGGCCGGGAGCTCCCGTCATACTTCAGGAGGTCGTCCTTGTCTAAGAGGAAGTCGTGGTCGGAGTCCAGCTCCCAGAACGTGCCTTGCAGCTTTGACGGCTTTTAGTAGCAACTTCCTTCCTCACGAGTTCCGGGCAGTAGATCACATAGAAGTGCTCATAGCTGAAATAGTCGCGTATCATCTTCATGTCATCGTAGTCCTGTTTCAAGCCGCCATGGGAAAGCATCTTGCTATGCTGTGGATTACGCCACAAGACGCGACGCTTTTCATCACCCACCTCGAGCTGCTTCCACGTCTCGACGATGGACGGCTGATACCGCCGCAGATCTGCGGTCAATTGCAATGGCCACCAGCACTACCACCAACCATCACCACAGCTACCTCCCGACTTAACGGACTTTCTCGAACGCACCTCTAGCTCTAGCAGCCACAGCACATGCACTCTCGAAGGTGCAGTGGGATTCTAGCACGACTGTCGCTGCGTCTCGGCCACATCATCGGCTTCTGCTGTACAGTAAGGCCCAAGCTTTGCAGGTAGATTCGGCCCGTCCCCTTCCTGTCCTTAAGCCACGCACAGCTTCTGTCAAAACAAAGCCTGCTACAACAGGAACTCGCAGCAGCAGTTGCAGCTGTAGCGTCGTAAATGTAGAAGATTCGGCTGGTGACCTGCGTCGCTCAAGTCTGTGTTGACTCCTTGGAATTCCTGTTCTTGCGGCACGGAGATCTGAGATCATGGCCGTATCGGCATATCTATCTTGGAACTCCTCGGGCTGGGCACTTCACCAGCTGTGACCAGGGTCTTCCAAAAAAGCTGCGATGCCAATCGCGGCTCTGAACTCGCGAATACTTCAGCTGTTATCCACGAATCCAGCTGTCGTATTGATGAAGTGGATTCGGTCAGGTACAGATACGCTGACGAGAGCACGCCGCCCGTATCTACAAAGTCTGCACGACATGAGACCACTGCCACGGCCTGTGTATCCAGCAGGAAGTCTAAGCCTGGATGGGTCATCAAGATAGCATGCAGGAAGACGTCGAAGTCCTGCCATTCGCAAACATGGCTCACGGGCTTTAGCCTTACAAACCATGATGATGGATGCCCTCCGGCCTAAAGCACTGTCGCTGCCTGAACTGTAAAATAGCAAACTGCCACTTGCCTCCTTCTCGATCCAGTCATTGTGGTCCTGCGCCCATTGAAGCAACGGCTGGGGGGCTTTCGTGCCATGCAAGGCCTTCTTGACCACTGAGAAGAAGCTCAGGGTCGGATCATCAGGCTGGATTTTCCGGTTCGCCCACCCAACCACCCTGGCACCGCATCGGATTAAGTCGATTTTTGGCCCCAGATCGTTCTGTCGGGTGGTTAACTGGCCGCGGGGCATCATTTCTGTGATCGGCACGGGCGTAGGAACCATCATGGCCTCGGGCTCGGAACCGTTGCTGCTCTTCGCTCTGTTCATCTGTGACTGGGTCATCCATGGAAGCAAACGAGGCTGAAGCATCGCGCTTGGAAATTGCGCTGCGGTCAACGATGTCATAGAAGGCCTGCCACGAAAAAACACTCGGCAAAATCTTCCTGACAGTCAGTCAGCCGCAGCACCACCACGAGCACAGAGGAATGCTACTACAAAAGCATGGACTCAAGTCCATGCATCGTGCCTTCATCTTGTGGAAAATAGGGGCCTCATCGTTGGGAACACTAGAAATACAGCAGTGTTTCTCCAAGATTTTCCGTTGCACCAAATCTCCGAGAGACTGGCGGCGAAATATTTCGACAGCTTGAAAACATCAGTGACAATCTGCTCGCACTGCTCCCAGTTCCTTCGAGTTTGGCACATATGGAAATTCCACAAAGCCTACTTAAAGCGAGTCCACACTAGCTCGAGTCAGCCTAAAGCTGTGAGCCTGTCAGCATCTCTACCAAGCGGGCATAAGCAGTCTTTAGCCCATCGGTGATGCCCTGCTTCACGAATATGTCGTGAATCTGGTCTTTGTACTCCTGGCCCTCGGCAGTGATGGATTTGCACTCTACTTCTAAGCTGAGCACAGCGCCTTTAGCAGCCTTGCAGTCTCTGAGCCGCACACAAGCTCGGAGATTTGATCGCGTTTGGGCCACCAGAAACGAGGGATGGTCTCGCACAGTTGGCAGCGGCTTAGCAGTTCGATTTCCAAGAGCAGACTCGAGCGGATTGCAAGTTAAGGGGCAAGCAATTCGAGAACACTATTGATCGAGATTCAACCATGGTGCAGCCAAAGTCGTGGTCACAACCTTTACAAAGCAGGCATGCCAGCCTTGGCATTCGTTGCAATCATCGAATTCTTGACGCCTGCAGCGTTCAAGGTGACTTCTGGCTTCACAGTCTGAAAAGCAGCGATATTAGACGAGAACCGTGCCCAGATTCTAGCATTGGCTCAAAAGGGCATGCGCACACTGAATGCATCGGAAGATCCTGCATGTTCTGGCCGATGCAAGGGGCAATTTTGCCATTGCATCGACAAGGCAACTAGTACCCGAGCCTGTTGGCCCACTGCCCGGGCTGATCGGATGCTCCGGCCTTGCGATCAATGCACTTGTCGCCCTTCTGGAATAGCTGTAAACTACCCGTGCTGCCAGTTTCGAACCCCCGGTAGCTGGTCTTCTGTGCCTTGAAACCCATTTCGGAGTCAGCCGTTTTTATCCGTGTCTCAGAAGTGTTTCCCATGTGCAGCTGTCAAAGCTGCTGGCGAAAGTCTGACACAAACATGGCAGGGACCAGCCCTCTTGCTGAGCGCACAAGCACCAGAGGAGAATCGCTCTGGCAGAACCACGGGCTTGGACGCAGGAGCGAGATGCTGAGGTGAGTGCGGAGGGGACAGCACATCCGTCTCCTGTCAGAACTTGAGTCTTGGCGAGCAAGCTGAGACTAGGCTGGAAGGAGTCGGAAGCTGTTGGTTGAGTTGAAAGCACGGCATGGTTGGTTCGGCATCATCGTGCCAAGGAGTTCAAACAATGACTGATGGCGCTGGCACAAATGCCGTGGATGGCCCATGCGAATGCAAAAACAACTTCCGGGAGTTTCTTGCGAACCAGCATCGCGACGTATATCACGAAGCCGAAAAGAATGAGTTGATTGCAAAGGGAGGGACTCTGGTACCGGACTCGCCGGGCCAGAAGTAAGAGCAACTTCTCAGTAAGTAGAGCTATACACGATAAGTCACAGCAGTAGCCACAGACTGACTCTGGTGCAGCTATCGAGAGATCCTGCACAACGAGACAGACTTCTTTGCCAACGTGTGGTTGTGTGTAGCTGTCTCTTGCAAGCGCTTTCCGGCTCTCACTGCGGGGCGGAGCACCGGTTTTCAATAGCAACACAGCATACGATAGTAGAACTAGTCGAGGAGCACAATATTGCATTTTGACTGTGCAGCAAATGATCGCACTTCCTAGTGCTCGTCCTCGTCGTTGCAACCCACGAACAAGCTTTGATTTCGGAAGTTCTGGCTGTGAATCGTCTGTCCATCGGCACCTTCAGTGTCCTTGGACCGGAAATCAGTGAATAACAGTAGCTCCAGTAGCCAAAGGACCAAACTGCTCGCTATCAACAATCTTCATCATCAACATCGTCAACAAAATCGCTCGAATTCACAATCACTTTACCTGACCCACCGAGCACCTGCCTTGTTTGCTCGCAACTTGTCGGCTCCATGGTTTTTGCATTTCTAGGGAAAGAGGCACACGTCTGCCAGCTCGGACCATTAAAAAGTGATGTTCTGAGCTCATAGGCATCGTGATCTGTGAAGTTGCACTTTTGGGGTTCATGCCGTTGCACGTACCCGTCAAATTCCACCACGAAGGCAGGCTGACATGATTCGCCAGAAAGCATGCAGCATCTGTACAAGTCGGCGAACTAGAAGCACTGACATGGGTGGGAAGCTGGACCCTTCATGCGTAAGGCAGCGCACCACTTCATGGTGACTGCGTTCGATCGCACGCTCCAGTGCAGTGCAGCCCAGCGCATCCAATGTGTGCTGGTCAGCCCGGTTGCGCAGCAACCAGCGCACCACATCCAGGTGACAACCTATGCATGCAAGATGCAACGGCGTTCTGCCCATGTTGTCAACTTTGTTTATGTCGTCACCAGCCTCCACCAAGTTAATTACAACATCAGTCCGACCAGTGAGACAACTAAAGTGCAATGGCAGCAAGCCGTTTAAGTGGCCTGTATTGTTTGTGCTGGCACCTGCTTTGACGAGGCAACTGACAATGCTTGCATGATCTTGCACGCAGGCCAGGCTCAAAGGGGTTTCCCCATCATTGGCAGCCCTGTTTATGTCCGAAGTCTTGGCCGCAAGAAGACGCACCACCTCCAAGCGACCACCCAAACAAGCCAGGTGCAGGGGCGTGTTACCCTGCTGGTCCATCTTGTTGCTGCAGTCTCCGGCATCTATCAAGGAGGCGACGATGTCTGCATGGCCCGCGAAAGAAGCCATGTGCAGAGGGGATCTTCGCTGTGTGCTTGTCTGATCCGTGCTAGCACCAGCGGCAAGTAAAATCTCCACCACTTCCACGTGCCCGAAGGTGCAAGCCAGCAACAACGCCGTCCCCTCCCCGCTGGCTAAGTTTATATTCGCACCAGATGAAACCAGCAAGCGCACGGCTTCGATCTGGCCACCTGCTGCTGCAACATGCAAGGGTGCCAAGGCGTTTGCACAAAGTCGGTCTTTGTCCGCCCCAGCTTCCAAGAGCAGCTGCGCAACTTTCAAACTCCCGCAGCCACAAGCGAGACTTAAGGAACTGCTGCCACGAAGCGGCAGGTCGGGGTCCAAAGGGCAATGCAAGAAAGCATCCACAGCTTCCACATCATCACACTCTACAGCCGTGGCCAACTCCTCAAGCTCCTCGTCTGTAGGAGGTCGGAAGCTCAGGATTACCAGTTGCAAGCAGTCTCCCCATTGCAAAGCGCTCTCGTTGGACAAGAGGCAGTTGCCACATAGCAGCTTTTGCACAAATCTGCGGTGACCAGTTACACCATGCAGATACTTCTTCAATGTCTGCACAGTCCCGCCGTCCGCGTGCAACTGTTCGAACTCGGTGATCGACAAATCTACTGCACACTTGCCAGAGGCGAAGCCAATGTGCATGTAAAAAGCAGCCCGCGACCACCTACTGGTTCCACACTATCACTATACGGGGTGAAAATGCTTGGCATGGCTTCGGTTCATCAAGCCCGAGTTGCTGCAACTCCAAAATCAGAGCTCGGCATGCAACTGTCAAGACACCCTCCAACTAGAAGAAGCCTCCAAGATGTGACAAATCCAGCGTAAGACTCAGTGTTGAAAAATGGAAAGCCCCTTCAAACACCCTCGAACAGCTGATGCCTTGGGCGGTGAAGGTCCTGGCACCTGAGTAATCCGACACTCCACAAGCCTTCTTGACTCCTTGCGGCATAGTGAGAATCGGACCAGTGAGATCCAGCCAAACTTTCTCTCTCCTCCCACAGATGACTGAGGCGGCGGCAGGACTGACAGGAGGACTGTGCCTTATGGGATGTCAAGCGCGCATCATTCTGGAGTCCGACGGCGTGGCCCCAAGCGCAAGATGTTACCCACGCATGCACACCTCCGTGAAGCTCCGCGGACGATGGGCCATGGGGATGACAAGGGATTACCGAAGCCTTCCTAGGTGCAACCCGTGGTTGTCCGAGCCTTGAGCTATCTGGAGACTTGTAAGTAACGCATGATCACAAAAGCGCAGCATCTGAGCGGAAAACCCTGGGGAGGACGGTTGGAGGTGGCCGGAAGGCTCCGTGTCGCCTCTGCTGGCTTGGGACTTTCAACAGCTTGCATCGGAAACTGCCTGTCGTGCAGCTGCAGTAATTGTCGAGCTTCGCACTACTGCGGACACGATGCGGCGAGGGCAGGGTCAGGAATGCTCCGGCCTTCTCTGCTAAAGCCGACATTTGTCCGATGAGGAGATCCAGGCGGCGAAGGCCTGACCAAGATGCGGAGGCATGGTGTTCTTTCATGTAGGAGTTTCTGCAATCTGTGTCGGCGCGAACCGGACTTCAACCTACTGCAACGCGTTCTGGCAAAACTGAGGGATCCTTGATTTCGCCTACCTTCACCCCCACCTTTAGAGGCCGCCGAAATGGTCATGCATTCAAAAGTCGAGAGCTGAAGCCCAGCGAACTCTGGTAGCTGTCTGCTCAAGAATGATATTTCCCAATTCCGAGCTCACCGTGCGCACCTGCCGCCTGCAGGGGATCCACGGATGTGGAGCTGATGGGGACTCGAGCTCACCTGTGGCACCTGGCGGCCGGAATGGGACGTCTCGATTCGAGATTGCACGCCTCTTCGGGAACTTCGGCTTTGGGGGGTGGAGACTGATACAACCGGGATCACCCATTGCGTCGAAGCAGACCTCGATGCTGTTGACGCGGGCTCCAGCAAAGTTTTTTTCTCGCATGCAAGGTTTTTTTTGATGGTTTCTGTGGAATCGGCCTCCAAGGGCTTCGCCTTGTGGACCCCCCACACGTTCAGCTCAGGATCAGCGGAGCCAGCTGGATGCGATCCCAGCGGCTTGGGTAATGCTGCTCATCTTGGCACAGTAATCATGATGAGTTGGCAGGTTGTCAACCTTCCCCTCTAAGCAGAACGTATGCAAGTGCAGCCATCTGACACTTACGTGCCGAGGGGCATGTATACATTGCCACACTGGGCCTCTATGGCCTTTCCCTTCATACAGTTGGAAGCCGCTCTGGAGCATTTGCACAAGCGTCGCGAAACCGCCCGGAGTCTTCGCAAGGACCGAGATATCCCGGACGTATGATCGAGGCACTGTGAGGACGGGACCTATGGTGCATCCCTGTGCCCGGATGCGATTGTTGAAGCTGGCCACTCCACTTGTTGCATATCCGCCACAACCCGGGTTTGACGCACGGTGGCAAAAGGCCATTTCACCGCAGTGCCTGCAGTACTCCTTCGGATAAGGGATCATTGGCATCCCGGCTTGCTCGGAAGAGTCGGCATCAGATGACAAATCCACAACATCTACGGCAGAATCTACGGTTGAGCTATCCAGGCCCAGGCCAAGCTCTGAGCTCTGCGAGTCCACGGAATCCTGGCCTCCATCTCGACTTTGACCTTTCACTCTTAGCTGCCGCAAGGATAGGGCAGCCTCTTCTTCGACACAGCCGATGTCGGCCTCCGCCGCTGCCGTTCTCCTTGGCCGGAAATGGGCAGCAGAGTCTGCAGAGTGCAGGTCAGCGGAGTGCAGTATCTGACTGACCACTCATTGCCAGCAACTGAGGCGGAGGCAGGCAAGCCACGGCCCAAACCACACACAACATCTCGAGCGCTTTATGCATGGAGAGACAACTCTTTGGGTTGAGAGCTGTTCAAAAGATTACAGGAGACCGTAAGACTGCTCGAGCCCACGGCCGCACAAGGCCTGCGAATTCCAGCTGATCCGATGGCTTGCTTCGCTAGCGGTGCATGCAGAGCTGCTCTTCTATGTTTCTGAATCGTTTCAGCGCACTGGTTTCACCAGCTGGGAAAAGCAACCCCACATCCTTACCGCGGCCGGACTGCTGCAAGCAACCCATAGAAAATTTTGTCCGTGACTCCAAATGCGCGCCTCGGCCGTGGGATCCTCCGCATTGTGGATGATCTGCCGTAGGAGCTGCATGGACTCCGGCTGCATGAGCCTGATCGGGGTGGACTGTAAGTTCCAACGCAGGGGCTTGACAGCCACCTCATCTGGTCTAATTCGCAGAAGTCGAGCCGTCATCCCTCATCCCGAAAAAATCGCTCCCCCACACTTTGGCGCGTGCCATTCCCAGAAGAATTCGTCCAGCTTCGCATTGACCAGTCCACATCCCTGTGGCGGCTCAGAGTCAAGGATGGCACAACGACGCGTCCTGAAAACAGTTCCTCGCCTGCGCAGAAACCATGGCAGGCGAGGAATGACAATGCTGAGGACACTCTATGCCAGGTCGTCTTGGTCCACATAGTTCATAGCTGGGAGAGGCTTGCGAACATGAAGTGGCCGCGGGCTGTGCTGTGAAGTTGGTTGCTTTTACAGTTCAGCTCATTGGGTCTCTTTGCCTTGGTGCCTCCACCTCGGCTGCTGTGCTTAGAGCCTCGGAAACCAAGGTGCAACCAGTCTGTTCTCCGGGACTACTGTCAACTGCAGCTTATGAAGAGGCTGCTCAAGCTCGAGAGTCAGCTTCTCTGCATTTCTCTACCTGTGACGGAGCGCCTGTAACCTTGCCACCTCAAAGGCCTCCTGAGAACTAAAGCCTCCGAACATCCAGTGGACTCTGGCAGCCAGCGATCCCTTGCATCTGCTGCCTTCTTCCATGTAGGGCCTGTTCACAAGCGGCCGGTAATAAGCAGTTTGCCCGGCCTACGGCAAACTCTGCCACGCTTCGAGCGCGGGAGACTTCCAGTGGCCTTCTCCCACTGGATCTGAAGCTCGCCCTCTGTCCGTAACTTCCGGAAGCAAACCGCGCCTATGAAATCTTGCTCCGGGTGACGGAACAGTCATCTTCCTCAACACCAAATAACATTCCACGACGGGCTCAGCTTCATCAAACCGCGACTGACCCGATTCCTGTCAATGGATGCACTGCCAATGCACTCAGGAGAAGTGAGGACCTCGATTCTTACGGGGTTTTTGTTTATGAGAAGCTTAAGATTTCGTTGAATCTGGTTTCGAGGGTTTGTGTGGAGTGGAGAAGCACCGGCGACTTCGAAGCCAAAGTGGCTTCCCGAGTGTCCTCGCAAAGACTTTGTTCATGGCACTGCTGGTTACCGGATGCCAGCTGCTTGATGTGTTCCCAATTCTTGGCTCGCATAGGCGGCATAGGCATAATAATAATAAGGCAACAAATAAAGCTCAGATTTCCTGGACACCCAAGCGACTCTACCGGTCTACCCCCTCGTAGGTCCAACAGCAGCATTCAGCCTTTTCGCCCCGCCGGTTCGGAAACTCAGATATTCCTGAGCCCAGGCTTCGTGCTCTTGATCTTCGGCGTCTGGCCTGAACTGCAGGGCGCAGTCTTCGGTTGACATGTCGAGGCAGCACATGGCAAGTGCTACCTCGCGCATCTATCAGCTCTCGCAGCTCTGAGAGATCGCACTCACTGCGCAGTCCCAGGCTAAGACTACAATGGCTCTGCAGTCAGAATTGAGTCAGAATCGCAAATATCCTGTATGCCAGAGCTTTGACGTCTGCATCTCACCCTATCCTCGACTAGCCTTGGCTGAACCCAGACATTGCATCCTAATCGAGTCTCAGCAGGGCTGCAACCGGCACGATCCCATGTCATGATGCCCGGCATGAAGGCTACTTTGCTTCGGAGCTCACTCGAAGAACGCCCTGCCTCGCTTGTCAAGACTCTTTCAAGCAGCACGTGCAGTATACCACTTCCCCAGCGATGGAGTCCGGCTTCTAGCATTGCGGATACAAGCAAAAGGTGTCGATGCCGAAACTCCCGCAAGCACCTTTTGACCTCACCCACGTTCGCCTTCGCGCGTAAAGAGCTGTCAGTCCACGTGCATCACAGCCACAGCAGGTCGGCACGAAGGTGCTCAAAGTCTTCCAGTCCGATTGAAACCCGGAGCAACCTCAGCATGCATTCAGGCAGTGCTCTTCCTGCCTAAAACTGTCACATTCATCCCACATACTCAACCTGCATCTCAGCGCTTCGTGCCTCTCTATTCTGGTAGAAGGAACGCGTTAAAAGGTGATTGCTGCCTACATGGGCGGTTGCAGCGGCTGTCCCTCCCGAAACATTCTGAGACCGTGTTTCGTGACATCCGGGATCATGAACACGCTGCTTTGCTGTTGAGCCGAGCATCAGAGGAGAGATGGCCGGATCCCAGCGCCGCCTCCACTCGATGAGACTTTCCTGGAGGATTTCGCTGTATGTTGTTTAACAGACTCTCTGTCCTTGGGTTAGTAACGGGTAGCGTCAGAGGCTCAACAACAACTGTGTCGAATCTTCCGGCACGGCTAAGTGGCAACGCCGCCAAGAGATGTGGCGCTGCCAAACAGCTTCCTCGGCCGGCTTCCAGTCTGACACGATGAGGCGTGCACGAACATGCCTCTCATGTTTGTGAATTCATGGACCAATTGTCATGTAAGGGCCTACTGAGGCCTACTACTCCCTGCACAAGCATCTCGACTATTCTCAATATTTCAATATTTCTCTATACAGGCAAGCCCAGCCCAGGCACAAGGACCCGGGCAGAGCACGCGCTGCAGCCTCCGAGGCGAGCTCCTCAGGTTGTCATGGGGCTGCTTCTTTGATGTGCTTACCTTTCAATCTCTCAGTTCTTTACCTAGTGTCCGAGGAGACTGAAGCAGGGGTGTGAGGCACCGGCAGTCCCGATGCTCCGAGCTCCACGCGCTTCCCCATCCATCATGTTGACGGGAGGGGGTCCACTCTACGAAGGGAAAATCGGTTTGTCCGACTCGTGAAGCTTGTGTGCCTCCTTGCTTGCTTGCTTCCTCGGCCTCTCTCTTTGCTTTGCTTTGTTCGAGGTTGGAACCCGGGCAGTCCCCCCTGGTCCGCGCGAAAGGCGCTTCCGCGTCCACCATTGTGGCTCTCTCTCTCTCTCACTCTCTCTCCCGTTTCGATCTCGCCGCCAACAACACCACGCTCCTGCAAAGGCCTCAGCTCTGCTCTATGCAGCTTAGAACTCAGCGCTGTCCGAGGCTCCAGGGCAAAGCAGCCACCAAAGCCACCCGGCATTTGCTCCTTGGCTTGTCGGCTTCATTTGTGATGCTTGTAGACATTCTTCAAACAGTTCCGCCTCAAACTGCATGATCATCTGCAGAATCCTGTCAAGGCACCACTGCAACAGAATGATTCTTGTGCGACTTCAGCGATGGATGGTGGACAGCGTGGATCAGCCCGGCGAGCTCCTTAGTTTAGGGATTCCATCGGATGCTACGCCCAACCATCGGGAAAGTTGAAACCTGGTTGGAGATCTCGACTGCGCCGGGCCCGGCCGGCAACCGCACGAGCCATGACTGACATGATTGTCAACATGTGATTCTTGACACCTTGATATAAGATAATATACCGTACTCGGAAGCATTCAACTTGCTCACCCTGACAGGATTTTGCTCCTTTTTTACAGAGTGAGCCCAAGTGAGAAATGCATTCTCGGCCAACCACCACTGCACATGCACGTCACTTCCCCATCTGCAAGTCTACGTAGTCAGTGCAGGCAGGGGCGAAGATCCGGCCGGCCAGCTGTCATGATGAAGCAGCGTTTTCGCTGAATTTGTAGTCGCAGACAAAAGCTATCCGAATCTGGTGCCCGACCGAGGCACATGTGAGGTATCCTTAGGATGCAACAGACAGGGGACTTGGAGGCTTTCGCATATAGGATTACAAACTAATTAATCGGAAGCCCGAAGTAATCATAACCCATGGGGAGTATGAGCCATGCAGATTCTTAGGAACTCGACGTCGGAAAGTCTTTCGGCTGGCACATACCTTCTGAAGGTGAAGCTGGGCAAGCCTAAATTCTGTGACACCTGCATCTTGCGAGCCAGCATCGGTTCTGGCAGCATCGAGCCATTCGGCCAAAAGCGTTGCAGTGGCCGACTGCTGCCGCACTCGCACGTGAAGGGTTCGCAGGGAGCGCATAAGAAGCCAAACCTCCAAGAGGGTCACAGCTTCATCCATTCGGCGATTCGCGTGCGAGAGTGTGGTCAAACGAGCGAAAGAGACAGAGGAGGAGAGAAGCAGACATAGCTCCTCAAAAAGCGCAAGGAATATCTCAGCAAGTTCTAACAGTCTTCCCAAGAGCTGACTGAAGCGAGCAGACCTCAAAGAAACCACCAAAGTCACCAAAGCCGACCTACTGATGGAAGGGCATCTCTCTTTTCTTGCGTATGAGGTGGCATGCTGCGCGCACGAACGCACCGAAGACCTGAGGGCAGCCAAGACACCTCCAGGTTACCCGGTGTCGAGCCGAGAGCGAGCCTGTCCTTCCTGAGCTGATCCGCCGTCTCTGCGCTGGCCACGCAAATGGCGCCCCCCAGCACATCGGAGTGCCCAGCCAAGGACTTGGTGGTGGCATGCATCACAGCATCAGCACCCAGGAGCAGCGGCCGCTGCAGCGGTGGCGGTGCAAACCTTGCACTTTATGGGCAAAGGGCAGGGTGCAGAATGTCTGAGAGATACCATGCAGCAGGAAGACGTCCCATCCACAGCCACGTGGACATCCGGACAACTCTTTGCTGCCGCCACATACGCCTTGATCGCATCAAAAGTCTACACATAAGATAAACTGGTGTCTAGAGAACATGTACATGACTTGATGGAACTCATGGCTCCTTAGCAGATTAACCCTACAAGGCAGCAGCTGCAGAGGTGGTTTGTTCCTCAACGTTGGCAGAAGCCCAGGTGCTCGGGCGACCCCCTTCCTAGCTCCCCATGCACAACACCGGGGTATTTCTGGTTGTTCTGAACCCTACACTGGGGTGTTTCTGCTTGTTCTGAAGCTGCATTCCTGGCCCCCCATGCCCTACACTGGGGTATTATTTCTGGTTGGTCTGAAACTGCACATGTCATACTTCTGTAAGGGGAGCTTGTGAAGCTTATCTTAGAGCATCTTGGAGCCAGGCCTAAGACATTCGCAGCAGGCCTTGATGTTGGCCACATCGCACGAAGGATTCAGAGGCGTCTCCAGCCAAATCAGGTCTCCAGCTTCCAGGCATGATGCCAGCCTTGCAACAGACAGTCGAAAACCTCTGCAGCACGGAAAGACGTGCGAGCTCACACCTGCAACCCACACAACTTTCTATACTCTCGGATTGCACCCTGGATGCTGAGCCCGAACCTTGAAGCTCCAACGGAGGTCAATCCGCAAACTTTAAGGCGGATAACTCCAGGAAGCCTATCAATCCCGGCATGTGAAGGATTAAATGGTGTGAACTTCCACGTTTTTGTTGTTTCGTCGGGCTTGGGGCCATCATCAAAGGATTTTCAGGCCATCTGAACTCGAACAGGCATTGCAAGCCTCAAGCCGACCCTGTCGAAGCTCCGTTTGGGCCAAGCATCTTCTCAGGGCCTGGCAAAGGCTCGCACTTGCAGCGGCTTCCGGCCGAGATCTTCTGAAGCTGCCCCAGCACCTGCAGTCTACACGGCATGTCCCTAACAAAGAGAGCAAATGTACACCTAGAATCACGTGTCCGCATCCCAACTTGACGTGTGCATGACCCAGGGTCGTCAGAAACTGCCCGAGACCCTCCTCACTAAACTACCGCGGGCAAGCAACCTGATGTGTGCCATGGTAGCCACCCGAAATGAAGACACGTTTGGGCAGGAAGTGTGCAAACCTTGGCTTGGCCGACGGGCTTGCGGCTTCTGATTGTTCGGGCTCCGCTCATCCGCACTGCAGCAATATTCGACCGTTGTTGTTGGCTGTGGTGCCGGTGCTCGATCAGCCAGACAATCCCAGCTCCGTGCAAGATCGACTATGCGCAATCAGCGTCGGCACTTTACCTATGCCACGAAAGGATGCCCCAATTATGCATCCCGCGCCATGAGGCAGGGCAAACGCAGCAGCCAGACCCGAACTGTACAGCACAGCGTGAGCCGGTTGCTCCTGCCCATGCAAGGTGTAAAGGAACAGACCGTAGGCTCGCGGGTTCCAGAGAGTGACGATCAAGACGAGAAGGGGCACGACAAGCAGGTATCACAATAAAGGGGAACGAACACATTGAGGAATATCCGTTCTTCAGCTTCTTGATTTCGCTACCTTCCTCGCGTGCCGCCCAGTTGCTCTTGTCAGCACCAGCTCTGTCAACACGTCCAAATGCGATTAGACTTAGAACTCACACTTGATTGTTGTCAGAGATGCTGTAATCGTCATTCCTGCCCTTTGCATGGTGAAGTGTTTTCCAACACACTGTCCGTTCTCTATGGCGTCGCTGCTACCAAAATCGTCTGGGCTAAGAAGTTCACTGCTTCCTTGGATACTCCACAAATGCCTGAGAAGCTGCAACACCGGGCCTGCGTGCCCTCCACGTTTCCCAGGAGAGTTTCGCAGCGACTCCGTGTCGGCGCGGAGATACGGCTGTAGATCTGGGCAGCAGTACTGTGCTTCTACCCAAGGTTGAGTGTAGACCCTGAAGGCATCAGGGAAATCTCCGCTGCCATGAGTCATCTGACTGTCGGCCAGCTCTGAATCGCATCTGGGCTGAGTGACCATGTAACAGTTATATATCAGCTAGCATGCGGTACCCACTTGTAGAATGTAGCAAGCTGAAAGGGGATGTAGGGTGGAACCCTCTGAAGGTGGTGCGATAGCACCGAGCTGGAAAGAGCAGGAGTGCTCTTCTTCGGTCGCTGGATGGAAAGCGGAGGTTGTGGAAGGATCTGACGGAAGCCGTCAGGACGCGATACTTACCTGGTTTAGTATGGTTTAGCGACCAAGACAGTGCACATAGCTTCATCATGACAACTTTCCCCTAGATTCGCCGATTCGCCCTAGATGTTGGAAAGCATGTCAGACACGGCCAGCGTAATGACTCAGCAAAGGACTCTCACGTCACAGGAAATACGGCGCACGTGGTAAATGCCGAACGGTCTGTCACAAAACCGCAGATGCCGCCAGAAACACATAGCTCGATTTCCGACTTGAAGGAAACAGAGTACAAGCCCCTCAATCCTCAACCAAGGCCGGTCTCGGCCCCGAACGTGTCCCTGGCCACTGGAAGGCGCCGTGAAGGTCGTGCTAAGGCTCAGCGGTGGTGCAACATCCTGAAGTTGGACGGAAGGATAGAGATGGAGTTGAGGATGCAGCCGAGCTTGGAACATGGCACATCTGTGCCAGGTGGGGCAAGGCTAGGCTTGGTGTTTAGCGATGCCTACTGTAGTGTCCTCACCAGCCCGAAAGCTGCTCGTATATCATTGGCAATGAAGCCATTGCCGGTCCTCGGCCGTCGAGAAAGTCCACTCCGGGACTGACTCTTCTTCCACCGCCAGCTTGTCGGCATGGACTGCAGCCGTCGCAGTGCCGCGAAGAGAAGACAAACTGCTGGCGGCCGCGCAGGGTCTCTGCGGCGGCGGCTCGTCCATGATGGGCCGACGCGGGAGTTTGTATCTTTGGGCAAGAGCTGTTTCGGGATCACAAGTTCAAGTTCACATCTATCAAATACTTATCAAATCAAGCCAGCTCTTCGTGCTAAAGGTCCCGCTCGTTTTGGTCTCGCAGTTGAGACGGTATGCCGGCCTCTGTGACAATTGTGCTGGCCAGCAGGGGTGAAGGGCCAAGACTTCTTTGAGTCTGTCCTTACGATCGACCCTTCCGTTGTTGGCGGGTCAGGCTTCTTATCGAGGTTGCACAGACAGCGCCTACACAAGCTAAGCATTTCATCTCCACCATGGGCCGCCGTCAGCCAGGACGCCAAAGACCGGAGTCGATACATTGCTGGAAGTACATCTCGAATTCCTGCGGCAAGCTATGTCTGTGGGCTCGGTCTAATGGAGAGGCGCAGCCAGGTCCGACCTGACCAACCATAGAGACCCTTCCGCAGCTTGAGATTGCAATCCAAAGGCTTGTTGCAAGTCGAGTTGATACAGCACCGTCTGACAATGTAAGAATAATTGAAGGCTTTGATCACGATACAATAGGATGCGGAGAGCTCCCGAAAGCCCCCAACTCTGCGCCATGGGGATTTGGCAGTTCAGAATGAAATCTTGCGTCCGTTGACTGCACCATGCAAGGTGTCGCTGTAGCTCTTACTACCCTCGCAGCTCCCTTCCTCAAACTTGAGCGGATGAGGTGCACAGCGCTTTGTCACAATACTCTGTTCCAAAAAAGAGGCCGTCTCAAACGCTCCTCCTCCGGCATCTCCTGAGCCACTTGCTTTAGCAGCTCCACGTCGCCTTGCAAGGGACACAACTATTCAATTTCTGGCTTACGCCCTCTGAACTAGAGCAAATGGATGCACAGCAGAATGGCGATGACAGCTTGGAATCGGAGTTTAGGGCTGTTCCCCCCGGCCCAACTGACAGAGTCACGCCGCAGGGAATTCGGTCGAACTGAATCAAAGGACTGAGTAGAAGTCCTCCGGAAATCCACACTCCTCTTGATTAGCAAGCCCCGCCATCCAGCAACAGTTACAGGATGTTACAGGTAGAGGAGAGCAGCATCGCCGAACTCGCATGCCTAGACTGACCTGTGAAACATGAAGCCTGACTATCCAGAACGCAACCAAGTTTAGGTCTCACAGCTGGCTCAATTGGGGCGATATTGCTGAGCAGCGAAGTTGCTAGAGCTTGAACGAAGCGGTCCCTTCCAAAACCGACTACCCCGAACCAAACAAAACAAGCTCAGGAAGCAGGGGTGGCATAAAGAGGACTCCAAAGACTTTCTCTCTATACTCATCACCGACCCTTCACAGTGCAGAGGGCCCAACTGAGGTTGGAATGGAGCATCATCCATAGCAGGAAAGGCCATTCGACTCCAAAACCAGAACCTCCACGAGGAAATGGTGATCAGCAAGTCCCGAATCGTAGACACATGTCTTCCCAAGGAGTTGCTCTGTTGCTGGGATGTGCAAACACCCTATATGATTCTGACAGCTGAGCACGCCCGCGCCCACATGCGCCCGCGCGCACGGGCTGGCCTTCTTTGAAGCAGCGCTGCAATGCCTCCGGGAGTGCTGCGAAAACCTCAACGGGGTCCAGGCCGCCCGGACCCAGGCGATCTTCCTGTTGTGGTTGCCGCGGGGAGCTGGGGCGCTTGGGAACTCAGGGTCACTACTCCAGCCTTTAAGCGGCGTTCGGGCTTTGCATTCCAAATCTTCGGAGTCTTGAGGCGAAGTATCGCAAACTGCAAGATGTTCGAGGAGCGGGGAACGGCCCAATCGCTACATCCCAGCCAACAGGTTGGCTTGTATGGCGTTGGTTCCACCTAGAGAAACTTTCTTAGCATTTACAGCAAGCCATCCTTGAAGAGGAGCTCGGGGCTTTCGACCCTCACCAGCAGCACCGCCAAGCAGGCATAGCTACCCTTCTCCCAGGCTTCATGAGCGCCGATTCACAAATCTTCAACAGAAGTCAGAAAACTCCCACCTAATCTGCCCACGAACCCCAAAACACTGCTGTCCAGCGACCTGCGATTTGCTTGCTCCACAACATGGTCCGTCGCTGCTCAACAAACAAAACCAAAGCACTGGCTTTGTTTCTCGGGGATTTCGGAAATTGGGGTCTGGATCCCAGAACGATAAGAGATAAGCTCACGGGGCACGGCTGTGTGATCGGAGCCATGGGACCTAGGAAGAGTGCCTCCGGGTTTGGCGCTTCGCCCTGCCGGACTCGGTTCCGCTCCAGCAAGTTCGCCACACTTCAGCTGCATCCGGCACAAAAACATCCATCAATAGGCTTGGGTCAAAAAAAGGTATTGTTCGGACCAGGCATTTCTGCAATCTTGAACATTGGCCCTCAATCAATCGTGCCCATGACAGCCCGAAGCAAATATAAATTGTCTGCCACCCGGAGTTGCCAAAGCCAAGACAGCATCTTGTGTGTCATTGCGGACTTTGCTACGACTAATGCTGCATTGGAGCCCGATATGACTTGTGCTTTTAACAAAACTCCGTGTGCGTGCGCGACATTGAATGCAAAGCGAACGAGTGTTGCACACCCGCCGTTTTGAAACTGCCTGGCAGAAGAAAGGCAATAATCTAACTGTATATAACTATGGGCCGAGACGGGAACACGATGAAGAGATGTGACAACATGTGGGCCGATCCTCCCAGGCACGTTCATGCTGCGAGGGTTCGCGGGCTTGCGCGAACAGGTTCCCAAGTCGCGCGGACACATCTTGAAAGGCATGTAGCCTGTGTCCAAAAGATCTTGGATCTTGGTGATCCGAAAAGCCCGAAAGCCGGGCAATGGACCTCACACAGAAGAGACTAATTGGGGAGTCTATGCTTTTCTGCTGGATAACAGGGAAGCCCACTTCAATGAGTCTCCGGGCTCGACGTTCGAAGAGAAAACCGAAAATCTCGCACGATTGCCCAGCATGTCATCTGCTAGGACACTGAATTTTTGCGACCACAGGACGCAGAGCACAAAGCTTCTGACGCCCAGCTTGTAACGCGTGTGGCCTGCAGTGCATGTGAGCATGGTGCGATAAGCGGCGGAAAATATTCTCTGTGGTGAGTTGCTCACCGCCAGAACTACACATCTCTGCCCTGAACAGGTTCTGTGATGAACTCCACAGCATACCCAAACTTCAGGAGCGCTCTGAATCTAGCAACTGATCAGCGGCAGCATGTGGCAGCTGAATCGTTGATCGACTGTGTCGTCTGCAGGTAGCTGAATGAATCAGCAGAAACCCAAATGAACCTGCCGAAACCCAATTAGATTTCTGGTGGCTTTACGGCTGTGACACACTGCAGACGACCATACATGCTTCGCACTTGGTACTGGGAGCAAATTGCTCCCCGACCTCGGCAGCGGGATTTCACACGTCCGGCTGTATGCGGCCAGGTCCAAAGAGTGTTGTGCCTCCCTGCGACTTGGGTGTGATGTCTACAGTCTAGACAGTTTACGAAGGTATCCATGCGTCTGTTCATAACTCACAACGAGCGAGAGACACAAAGAGTCGACTGCCGGCAATGTCTCTTGCAGTCCTGCTACAAAGAAACCCGTGCATTGCGAGATGACAAACTGGGTGAGGAAAAGCTTGGGGTACATGATGATGCCAAATGCATAATAAAGGATGGTCCCATGACCCTCGACCTAGACTATCGGTGCCGCTCAAAACCTGATGTGGCCGCCCAAGAACCCCACCCAGGTCGAAAGCGGTTACGCAGTAACGCTTACAGCGAAATGCAATGTCGGCGGTCCGGCCGCTCTCTCTCATGGCGATGCACCGGCATTGGCCCCTGCTCTGCCCCTGCGGAAGGCGCCGGCGCATCGCAGCTCTGCACTGGTTGCATGCAGAGCGGGCAGCACGTCGAGCACTGCGTGAGCCAGGTGCCTATGCACTTCCGATGGTAGACATGACCACAGGCCAACTCGATAACCTCCTCGCCTGACTTCAGTTCTACCAGGCAGATTGCGCAGTCGTCATCGCAGCCTCTTGCAGGGCGGCAATGCAAAGACTCCACGGACTTGGGCGAAAGGGTCTCTCTGGGCTTCAATGCGGAGGTCATCTGCTCCAAGAGGCCTTGATAGGGTTCCCGGAACACCTCGAAGAAGACTGCACTGGCATCTGTGGCCTTTTGCAGCTCACTGTTCATTCCCCGAATGCTTCGCTCACCATTGACGCTCTTGATCCGGGTGCCCCGGACGATTTGATCATTGGGGTTGCAGAGGTTCCACTGTTCCATGGCGGAGTCCGTCAGCACCGAAGTGACCACCAAGGCTTGTGGATTGTAGCAGACGGTGAAGCCGAGTGGAACACCCGCTACTTTCACAAGCATCACACTTTTCGTCTCCGACGCAGTCACACTCACGTGAGTCATCAGCTCGGAAAAGCGGCAGCGCAAGCGAGACACGGCCCGGATGGTCATTTGTCTCAGGTGCTGGAGTCGAGTAACGAGGGTCCAGGAGTTGAGCCAAATTCTTGTGCAAGAAGCTTTTCGGGCTTGAGGTTTCCAGGGAAAGACAACATTGCTGCCAACATGATGGGTATGAATGCACGTGAAGTTGGCATGACCACTGCAGGATAGCGACTCACACACTCGCACGGGGCAGGCATGGCTTCGCGGGGTCAGCCGTTTAGCAGTTTGGCTTCGAGCGGAGGGGATGCGATGGCATGCCCCAAACCTCCCGAGTCCGTCAGCTACGAGTTTTCTGAGGCCTCTCAGCTGAAGTCAAGCAACGATCTCAATAGGCAACAGCGCTGGTGGCTAGTGCTAAGTTGGTCTTTCACCACAAACATAGAGCAGATGGTCATCACATCCCGAATAAAGCCACCACTCAAACCACGCCATCTTGAACTTTCAAGCCGAAAACACAAGTTCCCGCTGACTTTGATCCCCCGGCCTTTGGCATGTCGTGCATTGCCTCCACAAGCGGCTTGGCCTGTCAAGGTCAAAAGCCCTTCTTGGAAATTTAGCGACCTCCTTGATTTACCGAGGCGGCGATTGAGTATTTCAACTCTGCGTCAGAAGAGCAACCAGGTCCCTTGAGAGACAAGGACTTGCGGCCACAGTACAAAGAGCTGTTCACGAAAGCTGGTGGTTTACTACCAGAAGACCCGAGATCCTTTTTCAGCTGATGCAAACAAAATCGGGACCCACTTGACAGGATGGCTACCCAATGTTTGGTTGGGAGAGCAGGGCGACTTCTTCCTGGCAGCCTCCATCAATAAATACAGATTGGCTTCGCTGGCTTCGCTTCAGACACGTCCTTCCTTGAAGGCTGGCCATCCTGTGTCTTCTTCGCTCTCCTCTTGCCTTCCTTCCTGCATGGTCTTGGTTTCAGCACTCCTTCCTGTAGTTCTGCCTGTTGGCCACTGCTGCTTCGGGCTTCGTTTGCAATTGCCTACAGGTCCAGACCCCTCGGACCCATGGTAATCTCCACATTTCCCACCCAAGACAGTCTTGAGGCGAACTGTAACCCGAGCTGGGGCACCTCCAGACCTTCAGTCACTTCAGTCTCAGCCTCCGCTTGCTTCTTGGCCTCCTCCTTGCCAGGGGTCGGCTTTTTGCTGTTTAGTCCGGTCTCAGGATCGACGGATGTCGAGGGAAAAGATGCAGTGCTGGGAACCCATTAGTATCCCTAAGACCTAAGATCTAAAACGCCTACCGCCCTACCGGTGGCACTTGGTGGTCAATATGGTGAACACGCCTCCGCTTCGACCAAGCCCTACATCAGAAACACTGCAGACGTCGCGGAGACTGGCTACCGACAGACCCGCGTGAGATGTGGGAATTGCACTCCTCCTTCTTGACCACTGCTCTTTGGATGATGTTTGCAGTGAAATGGCTCACCTGGAGGCTTCGATGGGGTTCTTGCGCTGGGCCCATCCAGTCCAAGTCCAAGATGCCCCTTCTTCGAATGCAGCCCGCGAAGTCACGTGCTCCTTTGCCCAGCATGTCACAGGTTCACACGGACCGAGCAAGGGAAGATGCACACAAGCAAACATGCATGCCCGATTGGCACTTGTTTTGCTTGCAACAATACTTGATTGCCATACCATTTGCGCAAAACGTATTTCGCTTAGTTAATTAGCCAATTGATCTAATCTACCTACATACCTAGAGTGTGCTGTGTGCCACATGCCATCAAGACAGCTGGACAGACAGCCGAACAAACAGCAGGTCTGACAGGGTAAATGAGTACTGGCTTAACATAAATATAAACACTGCGTGCCTGTGCACATGCGTTCACATGCAGACACGCAAACCACAGTCTGCCCCCGCTTGCTGACGACTCGCTCCCTCACGAAAAACACATCAATTTCCACCTTGGCCATCCTGGAGCACACTGACTAAGTGCCCACAGCTGTGTTCGAAAAGCTCGCATGGTGCTATTCCTGCCGGACGGTGCATGAACTGCCCCTAGCTCTGCGGCCGAGTTGCGAAGCGCTCGAAGAAGCGTGGCACCAAGTCTCGAGGTGGTCGCTTCATTGGCTCCGCCAGTTGATGAATCTGCGAGAGGATCCTGTCTTTATGGCACTCCGGACACCGGTTGTATTGCAGCGCATTCTTTCTCTTCTGGTCTGGTGCACAAGCAGAAGAACATAAAGATAAACCCAACAACAGCGAGCCGGCAGCGATGCACTGTACAGCACCAGATTACAGAGATATCGCGGCAACATGCAGCAATACATTCATCCACCTATATGAACTCACAGCCAGCAGGCAAGAGCACATGGGAGAGCACCCCTTCGTTGCCATGCGACGTCTGGGGGCCCAAGGCACCGTAGCCAACAGGGAAGATATCGAGAACTCACTCTGGCGTTGTTCAACACACTCAGCATGTAACTCTTCGAAAAGATGCCATGCATGAATTCGTCAGTGCGTGGATTCGTGCAAGCATGAAAAGACTGAGACTTAGACTCGATTCACCACCAGAGTCGTATGAAGCAAAACCTGCTCCGCTTCGAACTGAATGGAACTGAGCATACCCCGCAGGGGGTGGGTTGAGGCTTCGGGTTGAGCAGTGTTACAACTTCGGCCCCCGAAAGGGGGGGGGGCTGGTTCAACCGAATGTGAACCTCAGGTTGAGGTTGGGCTAAACCTGAACCCCAACCTTGGGTTTGGGGATAGCCCGAACGTGAAGGTTATAAGTTCGGCGTTAACCTGCACCCCATTGTCGGGTTCAGGTAACCCGAACCCTAACCCAGGCCCTGCAGGTTAGGGTCGGGGTTAACCCGAACCCCAACCCGCGGACCCGGGGTTGGGGTTGGGGTTAACCCGAACCTTAACCCCGGGTCAGAGCCAGGACATGCGCTCGAGCTCTTGCAAAGACAAGACCACAGGGATCGAGCCTGGCCATCTTGACAGAACAGGAAAGACAAGGGCGCGTGAAGAGCTTAAACCGGCTGCAGCAGATCAAACCTTGAAAATGCATCTTGCCGTTCCAGCAGCATCACGGCGTCCAAAATGGCAGTGACAGCAGCGGATATTGACCGACATCAGACTCTGACACAGAAAATCAAACTATCACAGCTCAATCTTTGCAAAATCAAATGTTGAGTGCACAAAAGTTGAAATTCTAACCTTGGAAGCTTCTCTTAAAGGCTTCCAACGGCTTTCAAGATGTCGTTTTTGCGAGCTGAAGGAAGGCCTCAGAGCCTCAGATCCTCCGAAAAGGTTTGAGCCCTTGAAGCCCCCCTTGACCCCTTCAAGGCCCGCTGCCCCCTTCACACCCCCCTGAAGCCCCTTCAAGGAAGGGGGCCTTCAAGCCTCCCTTCGCTGAAGGGTAGTGGGCCCATTCAGCTGAACCCCAACGTCAGGTTCGGTGATCTAAGGTTGGGGTTCGGTTTAACCTGACCCCAACCTGAGGTAATAGTTGGGTTGAACCTGAACCCTAACGTCAGGTTCGGGTTGAAGACAACCCAAACTTCGAACTCGGGGTTCGAGGTTCACGTTTGACCCAACTCTAACCTTCGTCGAAAGTTGAAAGTTGGGTTAAACTCAACCCCAAGCTCAGGTTCAGATGTAACTAGTTACAACTTTGGGGGGGCGAAGGTTGTAACTCTGTTTAACCTAGCCCAACCCCCCGTGGGATACTATGATGAAACTCATGTCCTGCCTTCACTCGCGTTCTTCTGTCCTACTGTCTGACGCTGGCTACACACACGCACGAAACTTCAAGTTTCTGGGCGCAAGCCGTGCTGGAACTTGCTGGTGCTGGGTGGACGCAAACGTTTCAAGCATTTCCGGGCTGCGCTGCCTTACGGCCAATGCTCCAACCCCCACTTTGCTGCTGAGCATCTGCCCCTGGCGGCCCAATTTCAGCATAAGAGACCTGAAGCGCAGAAAGGAACATCCCGATTGCAAGCATTCCGAGCTGAGGAGACGCAGACCCGGCGACCCTGCCGTGCCTTTCCCCGCGCATCTCGGCATCCAAGGCTTCCAGCATGAAGTAGCTGTTTGCCTGGGTGTGATGTTGGATCTGAACCGTGGTTTGTGACCAAACTCATAGCTTCGATCCTGGAAGATGCAGTGGATCTTCATGCTTCAACACGATGTGAAACCACTCGTCTGCGCGACGAACTCCGTAAAACTGCCTCTTGAACTCATAGCCGGGTATAATATGATAATCATCTGCGGCGACGCAGCATAACTCTCCATGAGGATGTGCCCGTACTCTTTCAGAAGCCCCTGCCGGGCAAAATCCAATGACAGGATGTAGTCGTGGCCCCACCCTCGCTCTGGGCCAAGGCGTGACAAGCCCGAGCCCTTGCCGAGCCCGTGCCTCTGAAGTCTCCCAGTCAGCTTCTGCAAATTTGTCGAGAAGTCCTGACAGCCATGGTTCAATGATGCATGAATGCCAGGATTGCATCGAGGCCGTCAATGTCTACAGTAGCGGAGTCTAGCGGCTCTGGTTGTCTTGCTTGAACATGGTATACCTCAGAGGAGCGGTCGAGCAAAGCACCAGCAAGAAGGAAGCTGTCGTCTCCTTTCTGTATCTCTCCGTGCCAAGCGCGGGACTCATCCACGCTGAACTCTTCTCCTTTCTTAAGCCGATCTTTCTTGGAGCCGTCGCCAGACTGGATGATGGTGCGCTCCTCCATTGCATGTATGACTGCATATTGCGACAGCTCTGTTAAACAAAACAATCCAATCCGGCTCGCAAGCTCAGGTTGTTCTACAATGCAGCATAGCTGAGTCGCTGTCACTATGGTGAGATCAAACGCATGTTCAGCATCTCCTCAGCGATACGGCAAACGTTGTCGACGTGCAAGGGGCGTCGGCTTTCCAGCTTGGCAGCCTTCCTTCGGGAGGGACACCGCCCCCGTCATGAGAAAAGCGGTTGCCCGTGAAAGCAAGTGCTGAACAGATTTCGCTGCCCACACACCACCCGTGTTAATGCAAGCTTCTCAAGATCACCCTTGTCGGTGAGCTTCTTGATCTCCTCAGCTTGGAATGAAAACACCCGTATACCAGCAGCCACAACAGAGGCCCATAGCGAACTGCTGGCTGGGCTCTCTATCAAACACTTATGTGGGCGTGGGCTTTTTGCCGAGAGACCGAGATTGAGCCTGTAAGACCACTGCCACTTATCGGTATTGTCTTACGCCGGCTAGCATGCATCGCTGCCCGTTTTGGCTGTTGAGGTGCTGCTTCGAAAAGAAGCAACTCACATTGCGGACAGCAAGCGGGCCTTAGTCCTGAGGGCATTGTAAACTCTTCAGCTTCAATGTGCTCCACCCACAAATGCTCGGAGTGCATACACTCAGATGAATGAGGTTCGATCAGTCCGACATCTCACATCTCCATATAGATATAAATATGCATATGTATGTGTATATATATATACACATATGCACATACACACACACACACACGCACACACACATACACATATATATATATACACACATATACTTGTCTCTCGCTCTCTCCCTCCTCCTTCCTTCCTTCCTTCCTTCATTCCTTCCTTGTTTCCTTCCTTCCTTTCTTCCTTCCTTCCGCAGGGTTTGAGTCCGGCAGCCCGGACCCGCGCCTAGGCGCCCCTTCGCCCGTCTGGATTCAAAGAAAGAAGAGGCACTTGGGTCTTGAGCGAAAACGATCTACGCTGCAATTGGCTTGTTTTGGCTCGTCTGCTGGTCGCTATATTCCCCGACCCTTAACACTAGCGCACATCCCGCCCTCATCACCGCGCCCACCTAACTGAGTTGCCCATCCCCCCTTTTCGGTGGTAGGCTGCGAGGACGCCCATCAGGAAGCAACACTGCAACAAGAAACCAGGCCGAACTGAGTGCTGGGTTTTCTAGTGACACCTGCTATCGCTTCCCCCGCATTGTTGGGCACAGCGCGTGTGTGTGTGTGTGTG